TGGCACCGAACACTGCAATCTAGCAATAGCGCTTGAGTGAAATCTTCAGCACCAGTGGACTGCATTTCATCACTGCATTGTCAGCATGATTCATCAAACTTGTTCTGCTTGTGTTCTGTGAATTTTGTGTGTTGAGTGATGTATGTGTATCTACCATGTAGCGGTAAAAATTCGGGGAAACTTAAAAAAAATATTTTTTATAGTGTGCTGGCTGAAGAGAGCCATAGAAGAACCGATACAGCCTTCTTTAGCACTGCAGTCTATATAAATGGCTAAAGACATCAGAGGAAACGCCATAGGTTGCTATAGCATGCTGGCTATAGAGAGCCAGCCATTAGAAAAGCTAACGATCGCTATATAGCCGGACAGTGATAGGACCATAGACAAAGCTAAAGAGGCATATAAGACGACTATAAAAATGCTAAAGAGAGCCATACAAATTTTTTTTAGCTAATTGGGCCAAAGAGCTCAAGCCGACCATACAAAGAAATTTCTATAGCCGACCATAGTACATTTTTATATGGGTTCATCGCTCCTCGAAGCGGCTGTGTAATCTTTTTTTTTAAAACAAATTTAAACGAATGCTCTTAAATGGTGCATTTCATGCATTACAGTACTTTGGGGGTAATTATTACTGCTAATGTGTATCTATTGACATCTCTATAGGAGCTATTCGTCACCTTGGTACCCTTCCAGATTCAGTGGGCTAGGAGGATGCCTTCATCGTTCCAAGGTAAGGACATCATCATCTTCTTTGCACGGGCGGTAACGAGAAATGTCTTTGGTAGCGGGGAGTCGCAGTGTTTACATTACTGCGACATGCGTTTCGATTCCGGTTTGGTACCAGCCTCCCTACCTTGTGTCAGGCACGTAGCCAGGGGGGGGGGGGGATTTGGCCCTGGCCCCCCACCCCGAAATATTTTATTTTCGCTCGGGCCGCCTCTCCCCCCTCCCCCCCCCCCCCCCTTCAAAACGAAATCCCGGCTACGTGCCTGTCTTGTATATTAAAACAATTGATGGAAGAAAACCATCACTCATGCCGTCATCATGTACTAAAAACGCCCCTAATCGATGTAAAAATCAGGACATTGGATTCTGTCTTCTGAATATGCCCGTCACCTCCCTATTGGAAAGACCAGTTTGAAAATCTAACTGGTCATACTGGTATTTAAACTGGTCAAACTGGTATTTGGACTGGTCAGACTGGTCCAACTGGAAATCAAACTGGTGGAACTGGTAGTCAGACTGGTCTAACTGGTAACCATTTTGATCTAACAGGTCACCAGATTGCCTTCGAACTGGTCACCAGATTGGCCTGACTGGTCACCATATTGACCTAACTGGTCACCACACTGGCTGAAATGGTAACCAGATTGACCAAACTGGTCACCAGATTGGCCAAACTGGTCCCCAGACTGGCCGAACTGGTCCAACTGGTAACCAGATTGACCAAACTGGTCACCACACTGGCCAAACTGGTCCAACTGGTAACCAGATTGACCAAACTGGTCACCAGATTGGCCTAACTGGTTACCAGATTGACCTCTCTTTTTCACTTTATTTGTAGGGGTGTGCGAATTGGATAGCGCAGAGTCATTCGTAACCTTCACTGTGCAAAATAAAGTCGCAACAAAAGGTTGTGTTAACAGTGTTGAAGCTATTTATTTGTCATATATGTTCTACCATCTCGCGATTGTCACAGGGCGACATGGTACTACAAATAATTAATTTATTTGGAACTGAATTCATGGCATATTAATGCCCACACGAAAGGTCAGCTTTATTTATTTAGCTAGAGAACACTTCTTCAATCCAAAAAAGAGCATACATACTTAGATATTCCTAAAGAGTTTTTTTTTAATCTTTTCTTCCCAAAAATAGGTTAAACCAGTTTAAATTCTACAAAACTTGAGATAAAAACGTTAATAACTGCTGCACCATGATTTATGTGGGTGATGGGACAAGTTTACTCGAATATAACGCGCCCTCGATTGTAACGTGTGCACCCTTTTCTCGCGGTCCGAAAAATGAAAAAAGCGCCATGACTTCGATTGTTACTCGCGCCCGATTTTGTAGGTTAAATACAGAAATAAAACTTTTCTCACTTGAAACAACAAAGGTTTATTCCGAATGCTTCAATCTTGCGATGAAATGAACGGCGCTGTCTCTCGCCGGTAAGGTCGTCATCATGGCGAAGGTCCGGTGCAGCGGTCGTGGGGCAGTATGCATCACTCGTCATGGTTGTCGGGCGACTCCTTATCGCTGTCAACGGCCCAAAGCATTCCATCTTCGGTGCCGACCATAGCGTTAGGAATTTCGCACTTCTTGAAGGCCTTGATAACCACGGCAGACGGGATCGTGCGCAATGCATCTTTCGCTCATCGCACGTGATGCGGCCCAATTTTCATCGCTCTCTGCGCACAATATCCATTTTCTTTTGAATCCAGTATCATTGGCCTTTTTCATTTGGATCAAGTTGGTTTTAATGTTTCTAATTTTAACTCCCAAGCGGGAGAACCGCATTAATGACCATTTTTTTCTACATGAGCGAATTGGGCTTTTACACTCCACATAACTCACAATAAATAAAAAATTGGCAGAACAAGATTTATTCTAAAGGCAAATATGTGTTTCTAGAATGAACCTTGCCACAGCAGAGAATATGTCTGGCTTTTACAGAACATTTTCTTTATGCAGATGTCGCATAACAGACTAGTAGACCAAATAAAAGCCTTATTTTGACGATGTACAGCTAGCTTGCAACAATAGTTCGTGACAGGTCAAGAATTCTGTGATGCAATCGTCTCATAGAAGTTCATTACCCTCTGCCGGCCAATCGTTCCCACTTGGACTTTATAATTTTCCCGCTTTTTACCACGGCCTTTATCCACCCTCGCCTGCACCGAGAAGCCGCTTCCAGGCTCCAGAGCAATTGCCCGAGGCCGAGGCAGGGAGCCTCTCATGTGATGTTTCAGAAGCGCGGGAAAATGTGGCAGTATGAGTCAGGCCCTTGGAATGCGCCGGTGCCCTGGGTGCCTTGCAAGGGAGAGGTGCTCACGTGCCAGGACAGGGAGCGCGCGGGCCAATCAGCGCGGCCCTCGCGCCCGCTCGAAGCGCCAGTCGGCGTCAACGACAGCTCCGGCAACCAAAAAAAAAAAAACGGATCTGGCGCGACGGTTGGGCCCACGTTGGGCCGGTTGGATCTTTGTTGTTTGGGGCCGCTGTTCTGCTTGGGGAGGTTACAAGTTGTCTTCAAGCTGTGTTTGTATAAGATAGTTAGCAGGAGCCTTGAGCGCTGCCTCTGCCGATGGTTCTTGTGACTGACGACGTCCTCCACCTGAGTTCCACTCGCTCGCGGGCGAAATGGCTGAGTCCCAGAACGGCGTTTTTGGAATTAGCTCCGTCCTCATTGCGGCGCTGGCAATGGCTGCCTCTGCCTCCGCGCCAGCGAGCCATGGTGAGCAGGCTCGACCATTTGGATTCATGTTCATAATCAGGTGCATGTGAAACTGAACGTTTCAGCAACCCGATTTGGAACAACTATAGTAATACAACCGCCAGTGTGTATGCAGCTTCAGAGATATTCTACCGTAGTGGTTGCGAGTTGCGTAGCGGACGACAGACTGGGGAGGCAGGAAGGGGGTAACAACAGGATCTTTTCGCTCCTGGGCGTTGCTTTGCGTAAAGGCTGAACCGCATCTAAGCAATTAAGCGAACGACGGTGACAGTGACGAGAATCAGCGACGAGCGACGGAGATTTCCCGCGGTCGGTCGTCGCGTCGCTCGGTTTTTGGATTTCTAGAAATCGTCGCTCATCGCCTTGGTCGCTTGCTGCCGTCGCTTTTATGCGGTTTGTCTCGTCGCGAGAGTGACCGAGCAACAGCGAAGCGGATCGTCGTCACTTCTCTTGTCGCTCGCCAAATCGCTTACATGCGGTTTATACTTAATTGCCGCTAGACTGGCACCACATGTACGGTTGGCGCACGCTTCCAAATTCCCTCTCATACTGTTCATGATAGTGCATATTTTTTATTCGTGGCATTAGTTACATACCGTTTTAGAACAGACGGGCGCGAATAAATCTGCCATGGCTCTAATTTCTTATCTTTATTCTTATTTCAGATGCCTTGATGTACTATGTTGCCCACCACCGGAACCCCGACACTCCAGAAGATGTGGAATATCTCGCCGACCGGCTCGGACTATAATGAATAATATCATGACAATTGTTTTTAATTGTAAATATGTTTTTATATTCAAATTTGTGGTCTGAAGTATGTGTATTTTTTTGTGGAAAAAAGTGAATTTTATCCGTTTACGACCTGTGTTGTCAATTTTACCAGTTTAACTGGTTTAACTGCTTGGAGTGAACCAGTATACGCAGTGGTACAGTATTACCGGTATACATATTTTCACAGTCAGACCTGTATGCACAGTTTCACAGTAAGACCAGTATGCACAGTTTGTTTGTCCAGTTCAACCAATTTAACCAGTGGCAATAAGCCGCTGGTTACCAGTTAAACCACCATGACCAGTTCAACCAGTATGACCAGTTCAACCACCATGACCAGTCAACCAGTGTGACCTGTTCAACCAGTATCAGACTGGAGCAAAATCCAAGTTTGAACCTGGTACCAGTTTGAACTGGTTACCAGTTTAAACTGGTCTTTCCAATAGGGCTATTTTAATGTTTGAAACGTTTGGTCGGACCAGGTATCGCAAAGATCTTTCGATGACATTCACAATGTTGCTCGGCCTCACACTCATTTCCCTTAAAATATTGCATATATTGAACCTTGTCATGCTGCAATTTGCTAACTTTTCTGGAAAAATCAATTACGAGACACTACTACTTGAATGCCCTAGTACTAGACGGAAAGAGCAGACGTTTGTCTTAAGCGTTCGTCTCATGCCATAAACTGGAATGCCTAGACATTCGCCTGTTATACATTCAAGGGCTTCTTAAACGTGCAGTTGATGTACGAAATTTGCTGACTTACAGAAAAGACAGCTGGCGAGCGGCGCCTTTAACACCTTGGAATTTGCCACCATCCGTCGCGGCTGCGACAAAATGTTCCTTCAGACAAATACCTCCGATTCGTCCTACAACGCCTGAGAGATGTAAATAGAAACGTAAGATATTCGGGTGCCACATGTAGGTCACAAAATAAATCAATGAGATGATTAACATCAGTTGTAGAACGTAAAATGTATCTGGATACCTGTCAGAACGTCGTACCCTTTACTGGTTCCAATATCGTTGCGGTTGGTGTTTTCAGTCTCACTCACAGACACATTTCTAATGTGTGACCTGCAAGACATAAAAAGACGAAAAACTAATACATTTAAAACTATGCCAAACGTTTTTAACGGTTTACCTAGTTTTGTTTTATTACAACTTATTAGATGCCCGTCAATGGTATTACACAAATAAAAGAATGATATTCAGTGTACACACAAAATTGAGGCTGTATAAGCACAAGTAAAAACGAAATACTCTGAGACAATTAATCCAACTTCAATATCAAGCGAATAGTATATTACAAAAACACGAATCCCGTAACATGCGTCAAATTCGGATGAGTTCAAAATAGCGAGAGGGGAGGGCGGTAGATCACCCCAGTCACTCACGGCTCGTGAAAGAATATGATAGATTCAAAACGTTTCATTGCTTTTTATAAATAAATAAATAAATAAATAAATAAATAAATAAATAAATAAATATATATAAAAGATAAAAGTGTTCATTCAAAAGTTTTTAAAGAAAAATGAATATATGAAAAGACGTTATTTTTTACGGCTTCTTTATATTAAAAAAATATTTAAGATCATTAGACAAGACATCTACCAAAGAGTGTTGCGTAGTTGCCACTTTGGACTTGGAGTGATTCCGGAATAATTCCGCACTTGCACGACTCGAAATGGAATTGGAATGGACTGGGTGGCAGCGGCTAGGGGGAACGGAGTGGGTTCGGTTCTTACGCGAGCTGTGTCGATTTTTATCTACGGCCTACCGGCTGATGGCGCAATTCGCTATCGCGTGGTAAGTAGCTCTTAAAACAGCATCATTGCAATAGTGGTATTGAAGGATTCATTGTTTTACTGGCTTATGCTCTTTCGATGGTGAAATTGTAGTGCCTTCGGTGGAGCATGCAACCAAACTGTAGAGAGACAAGGTGTCGTTTATGGTGCCGCGAGACGCGACAAAGCGGTTGTTGTAATTATGCGCGATCAACATGCAGCGTTTAACCAGGGTGTCGAACCGAACCCGAACCGAACACCAGAGCAAATTTAATTTCTAACTGAACCGGAAGGTAACTGGAAGCTAAATCAAACATTGGATATTGAGCCCGAGCAGAAACAGAACCGTAATTTTGTGTGGAGGTTACCAGTTTATTGGAAAACGGTTCGGCGGTAATAAAATGTTAGCCGCATTTTCTTGTTGGTGGCGGCGCGAAGTCGAATAAATATTGGCAACGGTGGCAATCACGTATCCAGGATTTTGTTTCAGGGGGGGTCAACCTATGACAAAATGCTGTATGAGGGGGAGGGGGAAAGGAGGACCCATGGAAAATGGAAGATTTCGGGAGGGCCCCGGGCCCCATGGCCTCCCCCCTGGCTACGTGCCTGAACGGTGGCGTCAGCGGCTCAATTTTGACTAAACAAACGGCTACGACGACTAATACGTTTATGTGGGTAGCTTTCGATTACGGTGCGTACTGCCGTCACGGTTTCACTGTACGTGCTGTCTGATTGACTTCCCATGCGAATACTGTGCTTTGGTACTGTATCCAATCGCCTGTATAACCACGTAATTTGTTTAGAAAGGTGTTTGGGTAAATATTCAAGATCACGAAATGAACTGAAGCATATAATATTTGTTTTGCTGTCCTCATTTTTGCACAACGGCTTCTGACGACCTAATTTTTTTGTCAATGAAGGTGAAGTTATATTAAACTTCTTTTTTTACTCAATGACCGGGAGCTGTGTACTTTTCTTCCAAAAGCCGCTTTGTGCTGCTTCGCGCTTGGTGGAATTGGTAACCGAACCGTTATTTCAAAAGCCTTCCTGAAGGAGAACCGAACCGGAACAAAATTTAACGCAACTCGAACCCGAACCGAACCCGAGCCAAACCCAAACCGAACCCGAACCGAACCCGAACCGAACCCGAACCGAACCCGCACCGAACCCGAACCAAACCCGAACCGAACGCGAACCGAACCCGAACCGAACCCGAACCGAACCCGATCCGAACCCGAACCGAACCCGAACCGAACCCTAACCGAACCCGAACCGAACCCTAATAATGACCAGTTCGACTCCCTGCTTTTAACCCTGCCGATCTTCTCGTATTTGTGCGGAACACAAATAAGAAAAAAATGAACTGAATGCGCAGCAAACGTAAAATTTTACGTTTCAAGGCAGGTTTTATAATATGATGGTACAGCCCCTTGTGCTGGCGCCGTGAACCGATTCTACTTAGTCAGTGGTCGACCCTTTGGCTTAAGAGAATGAGTGCTCTGAGGATGCTTGGGCACACATCTTCATTTGATGACGTTAACAGCTTTATACTGCTTTTTTTAGTAACATAACGTTACTCTCACTGGCCTTTTTTTTACCTTTAGGAACTAGAGGAATGGAGCAGTGAAGTTCAACCATTCTAGGAGTGGGAATGGGCCCAGTGTCTCCATTCCGAGGAGTTGAATGGAATGGAAGTGTCGGAAGCTCTAATTCCCCAGAATGAAATGGAATTGGAATGGAATGGGGATGTCCATTTCGAAACACTGCTACCAAACACAGGATAATATTTTCAAGCAAATAAAAAACTTGTATACTGGATCCGGAATCTAAAATAAACTAAGTTAGTTAAGTTTGCTATTACCAATCTTTGTTAAACAGTTCAAATAAAATTAACTAATCAACGCGGGGCTTAAATAGTAGGCACCTGTCACTGCCTCACAGTTTTTTTTTTTCACTTTAGCCTTGAATCGACGTCTTCCTGGCTTCGTTACGAAATTGTTGACATGGTGGCACAAATATGTGTTGAGCTCATTTCTTTGATTTCTGAAAACTATATATTTAATGCGAATGTATTAACTGTCCCATGTAGCAAAGCCGGCGTTTTCTGTAACCGTCTGTAGGAGAAAAACAGCACCAAAATTCCCATTCCCAATAAAACACACACAAAAACGACACAGCAACACAGATGCCTCGTCACGGAAGCGGGCGAGCGCGCTCAAGGTCAAAGCAGACGCGCTCCAAAAATAAGACACAAAGAAAAGCACAGCAACGAATGCTTCGTCATGGAAGCCCTCGTGAAGCAGACAGGGTTCGCAGCGCCTGCGCAGTGGGGGAGCGTGATGTCACCGCTGGAGCGCCGTGTGCTAAGGGAAGACGTAGCGAGCTGCTTGTATGAATACGCTGCGTGTAGGAATGATTTCGCATTCCTGCACGTGAGCAGTCTTAAGTGCCTCTGCCGAAGTTTTTGTTCCTTGTTATGTACATGTATGTCTGAGGTTTGCAGTGATGTGTCTTCCTGCATAATTCCTAAACGGTGCGCAAGTATAGATATAAATAGTCAAAATGAATAAATATTGCTAAAATAAACAAAATTAGTTGTATCAAGGTAAAATTATATTTTTCTGTATAAAATGGGCAGTTATCATCTTAATATTAGAGTAAAGGTCACGAGCTAACCCGTTTTAAATCTTATATTTATTTTAGAGCGCATCTCTTAGGCGCCCGTTTCCGGCTTGAGCGGCGTTGGCGTAACCGCTCGTTGCATTATGGGAAAGGTCCCATAATCCAACGCGCGGGTCTCATTCGTGACCCGCGCGTCGCGTTATAGGACGTTTCCGATAATGACGTCACTTATGATGTGACGTATGACATCACGAGGGTCACGAGTGACGTCACGAGGGTCCCACGCGTTGCATTATGAGGAATATACCATGATGCAACGCACGGGTCACGAGTGAGACCCGATTGTTCATCACGGGACGTTCCCGATAATTTCGTCACACGTGACGTCACAAGGGTCACGAGGATCACGCACGTTGCATCTTGAGACTTTTCCCATAATGATGTAGCAAGTGGCGTTACGAGAATCACGAGTGACATCGCGAGGGTCACAAGTGACGTCACGAGGGTTACCGGTTACGTCAACAGTGTCGTCACCAGTGGCGTCACCAAGTACACTCGTGAAGGTCACGAGAAGGGTCACGACCACTGATCTCTGTGTCTATTTGCAGGATCTCGTTTGACCAGCTTCGCCTATGGGGAAATGCGGCCACGGTTAGCCATCTTTTTGGTAGAGTTATATTATCTCTAGCCATCATAGTAATATGGCGGACGGCGCAATGGCGGCAGGCTGCCATAAAATAGTAGTGGATCTAATACACTGTACCATGGGTGATATTTCGTGCTTGATTAAAGTTGTTCGACGAAGCAGATTCTTAAACCCGGCGTGGACGGGTGCCTCATTCTTGAGGACCCGGCGAAAGTTCTACGAAAGCGCAACACCGGGGGAAAGCAGCGCAGCTCGCATCGAAAGCAGACTCCGTATCGGCGTCTGCTTTCGATGCTTCTTTCGATGCTTCTTTTGATGCGACTTTCGATGTGTGCTGTGCTGCTTTTCCCCGGTGCTGCGATTTCGTGAAACTTTCACCGGGTCCTCAAAGATCGGGCTACCGTTCACGCCGGGTTTCAGAAATATTTTTCGTCAAAAAATTTCAATCAAGCACGAAATATCACCCACGCAATTTTGATGGCAGCCTGTCACCACTCTCCCACAATACTTTCATGAGAGCCAATCACTACAATCAATAAATAGAGTTGTCAAATACCGGAGCTAAAAATATATTTAGTCGTAATAAATGTAGTCTGCTCTGTGGTACTGCATGACATATCACGTGGTTTAGTCGCGCAGAGTATCACATAGCAAAAATAATTTTTTTAATGAAACGCTTTTTTCTGAATTGCATACCGTCGAGCTCTCGCCGTAAGTAGAAATAATTAACTCTCCAACGAGATTCTTGTTGTAAGTATAAGTTTAGAAGTGTCTAACGCACGCCTGCTAATTTGTACTTTGTTAACAAATCTTATAAGGAACAAACATTAAAGTGATGACACGCGAATCTAATATACTCGCAATTTACAGAGTGGTCGAGCACACTGTCGAGCGCTTTGCTCAAGCCAAAATATACGATGATAGCCTGGGGTGGTTTGCCCAAAAGGAGTTAACGCTGTGTTTGGTGATTTGTGTTTGTCTTTTGTCCCTCTTGTTCCCCTTCTCCAGGGATTATTTTGGCCTTTCTTGTCCAGCTCGCTTGCACCTTTGCATTTAATTGCATTATAATCGTGACTGATATACACTATTGATTTAATTTTCATTGACATAAGAAATACACGTTTAACTTGCCACACCTTCTTATGGAGGAATTTGAGGAGCCCATTTATCTCCCAAAATGTTTTGACAATGATAGCAAGAAAGAATCTGGGCAGAATTTTGGCGTTCACAGATAATAAAATCAGGTGCAGTGCATAACTAAAAAGTGGAAGGGTTTATTTTACTGTGTTGTAGAATTACTGCATCGCCTTTTTTTTTTTTTTGCTGCCAATTGAAAAACAGAAATCACAACTCACGTGGTAAGAAACAGCACAGCATCTATATTTAGTTTTTGCTTCTTGTGCAGCCGTGTCGCAAGCCTCTTCCCATACACCTCAAGTATCGCAATCAAAAGTTGGGCATCTAGGGCTTTTCTGTCTTCAGTGAGGGCTCTGCGATCCTCCTGCGAAAGCAAGATATTAAGAACAGTTTCTGCATTGAAGAACAATTATAGAAAACGTAACTTACATTCCATTGACTGGCTCCCAGAAGACTGAATTGCACAGTTAGTGTTGGTTCCGCAGTTTTCAGAATTTTATTTACCTGGAAACAAACAAGCCAACAAAAGTTGGTGACATGACTCAACATTTTCGTGGAGTCAAAAGAATACATAAATGAATAGTTGGAGATTTAAGAACCTTAACTTATTTATAAATGTTTTATCTTTATTTCGGGAACAAACTATCAGCCACGGCGGACATCCGGGATTTCACAAAACGTACTAATTAGACAACAAATTATAAAAAAACGTTACAAATGAACTTTTAGTTAGTGGAAAATATACATTAGGGTCCCGCCTAAATCAGTCCATTTTAGGAATGGTTAAACCACGTGTGAAGCGTGGGAGAGCCCTAAACTCCCACGCTCATGCTGCAGGCACAAGCCTGGGTACGCGAGAACGAGGATAATAAAAATATCATCCAGATTTTCGCAACCCTAGCTTCGTGGTGCTTGCTGCACCAGTAAAAACTGTTGCGCACACCAAACCCCCCCCCCCCCCCTCTCTTCCTAAATTGACTGACTTCGGCGTTTTTGATGACGCCAAGGAAGATTCAAACTGAAAGCATATTCTAATTTTGACCAACTAAAATGTAATGAATAAATTTGACAAAAATATTACACTAATTAGAAGGTTTGTTGCAACCCTGGTGTCTATCCTGGCAGGCAGTTTGTTACCGAAAATTGTTTTCTCAACCACTCAATTAGAAGGAAGTTGTTTTTAAATATTCGCTGAAACATCAGGTATAATTTTGTGCTTAAGAACAGTATAATACTGCGAGGGTGTGAACGGTACAAGCTAAAACTACAACAAAAGTATAATAACCAACCTATACGAGGCATCAAGTGTTTTCATCGTAGTCCTTAGTAAATAAAAGGGCACGCCAGAATAGGATGATGCTGTGTCCATGCTTATTTGGTAATAAGAAAAAAATATAAAACAGGTAGAAATGTTAACCGCCCTGTTAGGGGCGTGGAGGGTGGCGGTGGAAATGCTTAAGTGGAAGTTGAAAAACAAGCGGAAAAAAATAATGTGCACTGCTTCCTCGGCAAGACATAATAGGTGTATATGTTATAGAAGCTCTGAGTAGACGAGGAAAGGGCAACCCTTGCAAAAAGTTTGTGTTGCATTTTACAGGGCCTGCGCAGGTAAAAAAAAAACAAACATGGCAGACCTTCCGGGAGGAATATGTTGCTTCCGGGTGGCTATGATGTTTGCTTGTTTTTGACGACCCGCACTGAGTAGAGCGAACGTCAAAGGTCTCGCCTCCGAGCACTAACTGCAGTACCTCCCGAAATTCATTTATACGGGACCGACATGCCTTCCCGATCTCTTAAGTGAAAGGAAAGAGCCCTTGTTCTTAAAAGGAAATGATAACCCGCCGAAGGTTTCGTAGGCGCGTCTTCATGACTACATATTCGTGCCATCTGGTCTATATATATGAGAACGACTTAAAACCTACAAGTTCCTAAACGCTTTCGACTAATTCTTGAACGGAAAGGCATCGGCGTGGGCATCTATGTCCACCAGGGGCCGAAGATACGTGCCGAGCTTCCCCGCAGTGGTCGCCGACCTTTGTCTTGGTTTTGGCAGACATTCTTCCGAAAGTTTGTATTACGCTGCCCTCAGCACAACGCGAGTCTCTGTAATGCCCAATTATCTCGTGTTTTCTCCAGCTTGCTGTGATGTTCAAGGTTTCTTTCCCAGAGCACCGTGTCGGCTTCTATTTATACTTGCCGTAATGGCTCGGTTGGCACCTATCGTTTTGCGGAGATGGTTGGTCGAGGCGCCGCCGCGCCCCTGGTGCTACATGCATGAGTTTATCTCGTTGAGCCATCTGTCGGCAGTACATCGAAGTAAACTAGCACCGTACGCTTAGCTGTGATCACCGAAGCTCAGAGGCGTCGGCGGCGTCCCTCTTCTCGAGATAATTAAATAACTAATGAACCATAACTAATGAACCAAGAATCGTCCCGCAGCAACCTAAACACAAGGTAAACATAGGAAAACGAGAATTATTTCTCTCCTCTTGTCATGGCGGTCGGAGGTGGCGCGAACACCCTGAATATAAGTGAATGCGAAGGTAAACACACTCACAAAAGACAAACAAAACGAAGCATTCGTGGCTAAATTTTCTTCAACTAATTACACTCAAAAACACAACTTAGTTAGTTCGTTACCTATATATTTATGAATGCTGCCAATCTTACGAGCAGCTTTTAGCAGGCAGTTAACTGCTTAGTCCTGCTAATGTGGTTGGTTATACGTAGCTCTGCATACCCGCACTCTAACATTTCTGAAAGGCTCAGATTTTTAAGAATATACGTATTTAATATAAAGCAGCTTAATTTTGTGAGTAAGACATATAAACACTTTTTTTATTTATAATAAACGTGTGCTGCACTGCCGCAATGCCTACATTAATTAAAAAGTCCGATCTTTATTACACTGGTGCTACTTTCTAAAATCCTTCGCGATTCATTAGAATATGCAGTCATCGGCATGCAGCCTTGTTTTTACAGAAACGTTGGGCAGAAGTTTGTTAATGAAGAACAAAAATAAAGGGGTTCCAGAGCCAATCGTTGCGGTACCCGAAAATCAAAAATATATGATCAGTTCAAGCACCGCTAAAATCCATATTACCTGCTAGAAAAGTATGCAACTGTGCATTTCACGCGTGGCAACCATAATTTCCTTTTTTGCCTTTAGTTTTCAGTAATTATTTTTCGCGTTGCTTATTTCTTGAGCACTATCATTGTTGCAATACTCGACCTTACACAATAATGTTGCTTTAATTTCGGTTTTCAGAGGATAAAATAGTAAGAATTGATCTATGTAATCAAAGGCACTTTCATTCGCATCTTAAAGATGGATAGCTAACGTTTCTCAAATAAAAAGACTTCGAAATAAAGTGCGTCTTGGGATATATTTTTGTTATTAATTCATGGCCTAAATGTGCACTTAAAATTTTATGACCTGTTTTCAGCAATATTTTGATTAAACTTCCGTTTTTACCCAAAGTAACGAGGTTTATCCTTGAATAAAATCGATTGATGGGTGATTTATCTGCAACTTCAGTTTTTTCCCGATTCTTTGCTAGTTATGAAATTCGCAATGCTTAATTTATCATTCAGATAGGTATTTGGCACACGAAGCTACTCTGGTGAGCGAGCTTTACTCACAAGAAAGATGTACACCATAGTTCAAAGCCAGCGTGCAATAATGAATAAGCTCAGAAGCGAAGCTTCGAAAAAAGTAAGGAAATATTTTACGTATGAACCGTAACAATAATTACATTTTTTGTTTAACCTTGCAGGAAAAGTAGACTGAAATCTGATGCCAGAAAAAAACTGAGTAGAGCAAGGTGTTGGATGCCTGCAGCCGAAATTATGAAAATTCCGCAGGTCTATTTAACTTGCATTACTGCTCTTGATGTGGCCTTGTTCAGTTAGCCATCCCACAACAATATCTCTAAAGTTACACTTTAACCTTGTGCAAGGGCGCGTAAATTTACTTACCTTTTTTAAAAACTGTTTCAGATATTCTATCACCTTTTGTTTAGTGTCAAAACGTTTTTTTATGTGTTTATCATAATATATGTAAAGTTCCAGATACGCTGAACCTCCACTAGAGAGTGTGCCTGGAAAAGAATGACAAGTTTGAAATAGGCTTAATGACAGCGACCAGCTCGGTGAACGTTCACATTTAATAAATACGTGAACAACCGGTAAGACGCCAGATTTTGTTTAAACTTCATTACTGAGAAGTCATAATGTAATCTTCAAATACACACCACTAAACAATAAATGTGCAAAAATGAACGCCCAAATCGCTACGTACATTTCACTAAACTGGAGGTTTAGGATACCTCTGTATAATTGAATACACCCAATACGTTTCGCGGCCACTAGTTCAGGGAAGAGATAAAATATTATATACCTTCGGCGTGAATAAATATATTTATGTCCTTTGTATTATCTCGACAGCCCTAAGATGCAAGCTCGCGTTGCACACCTTAACACAGGGTCGATAAAAATATACACATGTTTTAATAGATTAAATAAAAATGTATTGCATTTACATCACATCATCCCAAGAATGGTGCTTTGTCGCCACTCTAGGCAGCTTTGAACATGGCACATTGATTCATCAACCTGCTTGATCTCTAAAAACAGTGTGGAAAAAGCCTCCACCATAAATTCAAATATATCGGAAAGTACAGTTTAATCAAGATAATTTCATTCCTTATCTAAATCCGTATATTATTGTTGTAACGAAAAGCCAATTTACGTTTTAGTTAGTAAGAAAATTTTATTCGCTGCAATATTCCCTAAAATGAAGACGCCAGTCGCCTTGTAATTTACAAACATGGAAACCTCATGAAAACATTATCCGCACATTGTTTATTCTGCTCTCCTAAAGGTCCCAGCCGATTTATTTTCTATCAACTTTGTAGAAACGGTGCCGCTGTTACCAAGACCTCTGCGGCCGGCTCCATATGGAATATAAGGGGTGCCTAGGCCATTCATTTCTGCTTTGAACTTTTAGCGCCAAGAAAAAAAAAATGTCCTTAATAATGTTCAATTGTGCCCTTTGAACTCAAGCACAGTTGGCGATTCACCTATTGAGAATTTTATAAGCGCTGAAGGCTTCGGTATGGTCTTATAATAAAGACAAAAAGTCTTAAAGACAAAAGGATGAAATATGAACCCTACATGTTCATCTCTATTTGTTGGCCTCTAACTCTCTATGTCGGTCTATGTGACTGTGCATGTACGCATAATTATCTTTATTTGACCAATGAAGTAGTAAGTAGTGGGTTCAACGCTCCAATTTGCTCAGAGCATGAACAGAACGTGCGAAATTATTTTAGTCGTGCGAAGTGCACTGTAGAAAACGCTACTATGAAAATATCCTGTTTTATTGGGAAAGTCATGTCTGATATAATAGGCGTCAACCACCTTAAGGTACAGTGGCTGTGAGGTTGAACTAACTAAGGCGCATACTTCTGCAGAAGGTAGATATACCGTTTTTCGCTCTGCTTAGCAATCTCCTTCTATGCCAACAAGACTGCAGAATAGCTGCATGCTGTTGATGTGTTGTTCCGGGGGTTATTCCACCGCGCCTGCGCCCGCTCGTAGACAAAATTAAGCATGGTCATCGCGTACCTTGAAAATTTCACGGTGTGTATTTTGCCCTCCACTATGTGCTTTTATTGCGAAAAGCTTTAACTGAACCGCGTAGCAAACCAGCGTTATGAGCTTTTGAAGCAGCACGAAACGGCACTTAAACTGCCCTGTCCCAATGCAGCGAACCCTATCATCTGTAGCAGCGATTTGGTAGATAGGCCTCCATTGGCTGTCGCGCGTCCTAGTTTCAAGGAACGAGGCTCCCATTGGCTGCCACACGGCGTAGTTCCAAGGAACGCCACCCCACAGAGATCCCTCTCCAAGGCGGCGCAGCGGCCCGGCCGCCGGTAAGAGGGACCGGTTGGTCGCAGAGCCAGCAGAGCCTGGCCGGGCAGACTACGGAGAGGCTGCACGGCCGAACTCAGCGCGGAGAGGCCACTTCACGAGAACGCGTGCTCGGTCGTCGGCCGCAGCCTCGGCAGTAGTGAAACGTTGCCGTCTACGCCAATATGCATGCCGCAGACGAGCTATGGGAGCGAAGACCGACATTCATGCAATCGCATTCACAGTTGATAAGAAGCGCTTTGATGTCCTCGCACTTTATTGCTCAAAATTCATGTTGTAAGACAAGAAGTCTTGAAAAACACATTCTTCTTTGGGTTTTTAATACCCGCACACCTCTATCTTCCTATATTTCGTAAACAGTGAATTAACATTAGTTAAACAATTATTACCCACGTCATTAACTATCAGTGACCAATAGAAAAATTGAGGTTTCAAATAAATGCATACCTGAGTCACGCGCCATAACTGCGCTTCCATCCGGGCTTTTTGAGTCTACTTCGGATTGTCCTTTCAGCGACGTAGCTGAAAAAATATTGGGGTGTCTCAGTAAATGACCCCTTGCTGCCAGTCATCCGCAAAAAAACAAATAATATTGAATATAAAACACAAACTTGAACAGCAAAACATCGTATTACACCAGAGAAAGCGCTATGTATTTCTTTTCTTTATTTCTTTTTCATTAATGAGGGGGAAAGTAAATTTAACATAGAATTTTTATGGGCCAGTTTTAAGGAAACGTGAGAAAATGTTTTAATTAAATATCGCATCTATCTTTTTATTAAGACAATGCGCGATATACAATACAACATGTTGGGGATGCCCCGCTTTGGAAGAGTACACCGCTTATAAACTGTGACAGCTTAAAGGTATACTACAGCGAAATTTCGGCGCTTAGTTTTTGGTCTATGCGTGTTCAAAGGAGCAGTATCCATCGGACACACCAAAATGTTGTTAAAAAAGACACGAACAGCAATTTTAAAACAAATTAACCGGTTAGAAAACAGCACCTGGTGAATGTCGCTAAAGCCTCCTTTGAAATGCCAGGTCTAGAACTATACATGCTTTGAACCTAACGTCCTCCCGACAGCTCTACGGCCAGCACAATAGAAAATAGGATGGAGGATCTCCCCACTAAACGGTACACTCTTTTGTGTGTCCCAGATATCTCTATTTTCTTTATACAAGATTAAAGAAGATTAACCCTTTACTCAAAGTTTACACAAAAGCAGCTTTGCGGTTAGTTGCGGTGGCCCGATTGCTGGCGTGCTTCGACCGCTTCGGTGGCTGGAACAGGTCCGCGAACCCTTTGGGGTCCGCGAAGGCACTCTAGGGGTCCACGAAGCCCAGCCTCATCAGTCAAGTCCGGCAACAAAAGTTGGTCTTTTCTTAGATTGAGACGAAACGTTGCAATTTTCGGGTGAGTTTTCTCGTGTATATGTCAATAAGAGAAGTCTACTTTACGCTACCACTTAGTTATATCCATTTATTAAATCACTGCCTTAATTAAGCTATACTTTCCCTTCCTCCCCACTTGTACCTTGCTACTAATAATAAATAAGGGAACTAACAAATACATTTTTCGACAAGTTCGATCCGGAATTTGCTAGATTTTCAATCCATTCCTTACTTCAAATGTGTGTAACATATTATATTAACATGCAATAATGACTATAAAATATTGCATTTGTATTAATTTGCCAAAAATCGTCAAGGTGACACAGTTCAACGTTATTAAAAATTATTGAAACCTATAAAATATTTTTTTTAATTTATTAAGACTAATAAACCCTATGTGATGATGTGACTCAATGTGGAAAAGAAGAAGTGCAAGTCAACCCATGGATCGGCCCAGAGGGTGAAAGGAAGATGACGAAGAAGGGAAGTTTTGAGAGTGCGTGCAGAGAGCGCGTGAAAGGACTGGCCGAAGAGAACGTGCAGAGAGCGGAACGACACCATCGGCCAGGGCAATCGGCGGCCTCCTACTGCCTGACCAGCAGCCTGTTCCAGCGAGGGCAGCGCATAGAAACCTACGCTGCCCGGCTTCCTACTGCGCGAGCACTGGTTGCGGTGACTCTTGGGGCCGCCGACGGAAGCCAACCGCTCCCGCTCCTGACTTCCAGCCACAACCGTGGGCCGACAACGACAGCACAAGACACACTGCTGCACAGGGACTCAAAGACATGGTGACTGATGCGTTTTCCTTTCTTTCATTTCTTTAACTAAGTTTTCCTTTTTTTTTGTATAAGCATATGAACTCTTTGATTTTTTTGTAAATACAAGCTTTTATGAAAAACGAAGGACATTGTATCTTGTCGAATATTAACCACAAAGAACCTCGCAACAATTAACTGGCGTCCGCGACAGGACAAGATATTCTGTTCCTTCGTTTTTCTACGTATCAATAATTAATCAGAATGGAGGTTAAAGAGTTAATGTCTTTGGGCACTGAGTTGGGACTGGCAGGAGCGGAGTTGAGGTCTTGGGTGGACGAGGAGCGAGCACGCCAACGAGAAGAGAGGGCTGCTGAGAGGGAAGCACAGCGCCTCAAGGCAGAAAGTGAGCAACGCATTATCGAATTAAAGATTCGTCTTGCAGAGGCTAGCGCAACCGAGATAGGACAAACAGATGGCAGTGAAGGGTCACGTCGCGCATCTATATCGCTATCTCCTAGTCCTCACAAGCTTATGCCTCCCTTCGATGACAAAAGGGACGATCTCGACTCGTATTTGAGGAGATTTGAGCGTGTAGCGCAGGGGCAAGATTGGCCGCAAGAGAAGTGGGCGACTGCTCTAAGCATGTGCCTGGTTGGCCCAGCTCTGGAAGTCATAAGTAGGATGTCGCCTGAAGACTTTTTGGATTATGATAGAGTGAAGAGGGCTTTGCTCCAGCGGTTCCGTTACACGGCAAAGGGGTACCGCGAGAAATTTAGAGAGAGCAAGCCGTTAGACGGAGAGACAGGGAGCCAGTTTGCTGCAAGACTAGAAGGGTTCTTCGACCGCTGAGTCAGTATGAACGCATGCCCAAAAACGTATGAGGGGATTCGGGACCAGATGGTCGGGAAGCAATTTCTTCAGAATTGTCATCCGAGGCTCGCGGTCTTCTTAAAGGAAAGAAGCTGTAAGACCGTCTCGGCGTTGGCTGAAATGGCGGACCACTTCCTGGAGGCGCAGAGCCAGCCTAATCTGGCCAATTTCAGGAGGGAGGCAAAAGTAGCCTTAGATTCTCTGAAGGAAGATGCGCAGGGCAGCAAACCCGCTCCAAAGATAAAATGTTTCTTGTGTGGTAAGTCGGGCCACAAGGCAGCAGATTGCCAATCGAAGCCAGAAACACGCGTATTCTGTCAAGTGTGTCAGAGGTCAGGCCACGAGTCCAGATCATGTCCACAAGGAAAAAACGGAAAGTCAGAAGTTTGATGTTTCGTAAAACCCGATGAGTAGCCTGTTGGTAAGACGGACGCGTTCTCACGGGGAAGGAAGAAAATCACAAGAAACGCCTTCAGAACGCCCACCATGAATATGACTGAAAAGGCGAGACCAATTCTGTCGGAATTTATGCCAATCACAGATGGGATTTTGAACGGCAAAGTAGTAAAGGTGTGGAGAGACACCGGGAGTAACACCGTGATAGTGCGCCGGGAACTGGTCGCATCTGAATATTTTACTGGCAAAGTCAGTCCCGTATTTTTAGTGGACGGGACGTGTCTGATGTTGCCAGAGGCAAACATTCGCCTTGTGTCGCCGTTCCTAACAGGACAGGTAACTGTCAAATGTATGAACCATCCTCTGTATGACGTTATTGTGGGGAATATTCATGGAGCAGAAGATTCGACCGAACAAACCCTGAAGGAGGTGTCTGACGCGGAAGGTGAAATCGTCGCTGCCGTCGACGGTAGTATGCCGAGTAGGTTAAACCAACTTAGTAACGGCGGGAGTGCCAGGGAACGGGGGGGACCTGCGGCTCTCGCAGTGGAGTGACATCGACGCCAAGGGGCACTTGAAAAGCAGGTCAACCACTCACGAACAGTACCTGGAGAAGGAGAAGCTGCTGCAGCAGGTCTTCGACATGAAGAAGCCGGTGTACCCCAAGCCCCGCAGAGTGCTCTACCCGAGGCCGCGCCTCAAAAAGAGGGACCCTGAGGCCCAAGCAGTGGTTTCGCCACTGGGCCCGACCGATAACTACCCCGTGCCGCAGATAGATCCTCATGACAGCGTCCCGACCGAGTTCATCATGGGCTACAGCCTGGCAGGAGCCGACCCTTCCGTCTCGCCCGGAGAGGACACCATAGAGCACGGAAATGGAAAGGCCAAGACGAAGTGTCAGGATGGACGGCAGGAGTTCCTTGAAAGGCAAGTGGACCGGGAACAAATGATCCAGGAAAAAGAACTGCACCTTGAGGAGCGAAGGCTCAAGCTCGACGAAGAGCAGCTAGCCTTTGAGAGGACCAAGTTTGAAGCAGAGATGACGGTCAAGGTCAAAAGGCTAGACATGGAGGAGGAGGAGCGCAGGATACGCGACGGCACAGACAAGATGCACCTGGAGCTCATGAAGAAGATGTTCGACGAACTGGTCCAGAAGGCCTTGTGATTGAGAACTGCCAGGAAATTCTTCGTCGCGTATGAGGTGCTTTGGTACGATGGTGGGCATTATCACCGAGCGTTAGAAGAAGCGTAGTGGATTCAAATGATTCTTCATTACGATTCATTCATTACGATTGAGAGGAGTGCAAAGTAGAATGAACTGCAATAATTTATCGTTAGAATTTGTTTCTAGTAATATACCTCGGGTTATGCATTTTTGGGAGCGTATTTGCAAGGAAATTGAAGAACGTATGGAGACATTAAAGCAGTTTTTTGAGAGAATGCGACAAGCCGGTATTACAGTAAACCCATGAAGTGCGAAGTCGGTATGAGGACAATAACATTCCTGGGTCATGGTCTGGGTAATAGAGAAGTTTCGTGTGTATTGATATGGAACGCATTTTGTTGTTCAGGCGACCCACCATCCTTTACAATATCGAAACAAGAAGAAACAACTTAACAGCCGAGTGTTACGCTGGGGTCTGATGCCTCAAGAGTACTCGTTTCGCGTGGAGTACATTTAAAGAAGTGAGAATGTGGGTGCGGGTTTTCTTATTAGGCTGCAATGGACTTGCGCACATCATCATGGTCTTTGTTTTTTTTGTGTATGTAATTTCTTTTGGTACTTAAAAAAACTTAAAGGGGGGATTCTTGTGATGATGTGACTCAATGTGGAAAAGAAGAAGTGCAAGTCAACCCATGGATCGGCCCAGAGGGAGAAAGGAAGATGACGAAGAAGGGAAGTTTTGAGAGTGCGTGCAGAGAGCGCGTGAAAGGACTGGCCGAAGAGAACGTGCAGAGAGCGGAACGACACCATCGGCCAGGGCAATCGGCGGCCTCCTACTGCCTGACCAGCAGCCTGTTCCAGCGAGGGCAGCGCATAGAAACCTACGCTGCCCGGCTTCCTACTGCGCGAGCACTGGTTGCGGTGACTCTTGGGGCCGCCGACGGAAGCCAACCGCTCCCGCTCCTGATTTCCAGCCACAACCGTGGGCCGACAACGACAGCACAAGACACACTGCTGCACAGGGACTCAAAGACATGGTGACTGATGCGTTTTACTTTCTTTCATTTCTTTAACAAAGTTTTCCTTTTTTTGTATAAGCATATGAACTCTTTGATTTTTTGTAAATACAAGCTTTTATGAAAAACGAAGGACATTGTATCTTGTCGATTATTAACCACAAAGAACCTCGCAACACCCTATTTCAGGAAAGTCGCAAATAAGTCCCAGTGCTTTGTTTTTTGCTCTGTCATTTCAATGGTTAATAACTCGAAAGCAAAAGAATAAGCAAAGCTTGCCGATCGCGCTCCCTTTTATTTCAAGAATGCTACCGAAAAATATAGTTTTCGGTGAAAATAAATATTTGACATAAAATTCGTGCATGAATTGAGATGAAAACTGCTTGTTATAGTCTTCAAGAGACAATAAGTTCTCAATACTGACTGTTGAAACCGGCGTACGCATCAGGTGACTCAAAAGGTTTCAGTTTTCTACTTGAGAAACCGGAGAGAAACCGGAGTAAGAAACAGATGGAAAAAAAAAGAAGTTAATAGTGTAGCTCGGGCAAAAGACTTACCGTACGCCACGAAGCAAAGTACGAGGAATACTTTCAGCAGAACCATGATCCCTGTTCTCTTCCCCTCAACGTTATAACCAAGACAGTTTTCGGGCCGTATTTATACTTATTTATTATTTGGCATCATTCGACTAAATAAAGAAAAGAAAGAAATGTTTCTGGCTCGTAATTTTCGATTATTGGCGCGGCCTTACACAGTTAAAGGTCACTGTTGCGTAGGTTTCTTATTTACTCCTTTTGGTGTGCCCTTTCCATGATAAGGTTGCAGGTTCTCTTGAGAGTGTAAGATCACACGATTGTTGTGCAAAGAACAGCCGGATCTTCGAAATACGGCAGAAAAATATTGATAAAGGTCAAAAATGAAAAGGACAGGCCTTTTATCTAGAAAATATAGAGGCAAGACATCTGAAAGCCGTAGGCGCCTCGTGTCTTATACGTGTGACAACTTTGTTTCCACTTGTTTACTCTTCAGAAGGTCACAATGGACGTGCAGCAGTTTGTTTTTCATTTAGATTTATAACATAAATGCTGCAAAAATTTCAGTCTTCAAAAAAAAAAAAAAAATTGCCCCGAGGGTACGTCAATTCTAAAAATCGAAATGTAATTTTGAAAAACAAACCGAAAATCGCGTGACATTTGGATAAAAAAAAATAGTTCCCTGCGGTTAAACAAACCAAGAGTAAGGCATTTATTCCGCAAAAAGCGCAAAAACAATAAAAAAAAAAACAGCTTATGGTTTTGTCAATTATTTTCCCTTTCTTTAAAAAAATGGCGTGGAACAAATTTGGCATGTTCCAGATTTTGCGCGATTTCGGTTGCTTATGTGCAAATGCGACTAAAGAGCTGAAACATGCACAAAACACGAATCAAGCAAAGCTTGTACCATGCTATACATGGCTTGGGCGTGACGTCAACGCACCCATGCTGGTATCCAGGCACGTAGCCAGGGGAGGGGGAAAAGGGCGGCCGTGGGGCCCGCCCCCCCCTCCCCCCCTCCCCTTCCCTCCCTCCCGAAACAAAGTCTTGGTTACGTGCCTGCTGGAATCATTTACACTTGTTCTTTTCAAGAAAACAGTTTTGACGGTGCAAATTGCATGCTGCAGGAAGAACGCTATCAGCAACAAGGCCACGCCAATGGCCGATATTGTGAGCTCGGTGCAAGTCATGTGTTACTTATTTGAAAAGAAGGGCGTCCGTCGTACCTAAACCCGACAAAGTTTTCGTTGAAAGCTTATTTGCAAATTCTGTGCATTATATATCCCCGCATGATATCTATGAAATAACCGTGCGGCCCATTATGTTCACCTGAGAAAAGAAATCTTGCATGCAGAATGCGTAGTCCTTAAGGTTTTGTGTTGTCGGTTTTTTTTTTTCAAATTTGAGGTATTTCGTGGTATATTTTAACACGATTAGCTTTTAAAGGGCACTTTTCGTTTATAGTTTTGATTTTGGGATAACGACACTTTTTAGCGCAGTCAGCGTCCATGAATTACAAGGTGTTTTTTTTTTTGTTTTTTCTGGGTACTGCGCGTAGTTTTAAGGCGCGTTCACATCGGCGATATGGAGCAGCAGCGGGATGCGATATAGCGATGAGCGAGTTGCGCATGGTTGTTTCCTGAAAACTCTCGCTCTGAAGTCCTCGGTTTAGCTCAGCCGCTCCGCGACTAGGTCGCATTGCAAAAGTTCGGGTCAACTAGCAGGCTGCTCGAATCGCGTCGCTTTTTTCCCGCGATGGTCGCTTTTGCGATGAAGGTTATCGCGCGACTACATTGCATCGCGGGTGTGAACGCGCCTTTAAAGACAGAGACGCCTCAAAGTTTTGTTTGGGGCGTGGTCGACAAAACCGAAACTGTCCACCCGAGGAGACGTCAACACTGGAAATCAGCCGCAAGGCGGACGTGACGTGGTGGCCGTTCTCGCCCATGCCTTGTTCCCGTGCAACGAGTACGCGATCCAAGCGGTACCTACCTCTGTTGCGCTAGCCGTTCTTGGGCAGTAGCTACTAGAAACGCAGGACCGGTAACTAGTTATGAATAAAATAGCGCAAAACAACAAGGAAGGAAGGGCGAGGTAGACAGGAAGGGCGCTGCCTCGTACTTCCTTCCTTGTTGTTTTGCGCCCATACACGTTTTGTGCACCTGACACCCGCCCGGTCGGTGTCGGGGGCACAAAAGTTGTATGGCCGCATGCCTTTCCCTGAATACCTGCGCACCGGACGGCACTGTGAAATAAAGTGCAATACAATACAACACAATACAATAGCCTTATCTTATTGCGTTAAGTAGTTACTTTTTTCAGTAACTTGTAGCTTAACTCATTACAGCTTAGTGAAAAGAACTTCTTAACTCTTAAAAAAAGGAGTAGTACATCGTTCTTTTGTTGGACAAAATTAATTTCGGTGAGAGTGACCCCCTAAAACGGCAAAACCCCGGTTTGGTCCCTTCCGTTTCTTTTAGTCCCTTTGCATCGATCCCTTTAGGTCGAAGTTATGAACCGTTAAAATGGGTGCTTTTCATCTCTACGGCAGGGCATCACGGACTAAGTTTTACTCTTCAGGGGATTAATTACGGTTCCCTTAGCGCCGTCGTGTCAACAATCGAGGGAGTGACTTTGATCTTTTTAAGGATCAACAGTGCTACCTTTGGGGATTCATTTTGTTACTTAAAGGGATGATACTTATAGTGACGGGGAAGTAACTTTCGTCCCTTTGAGAAACAATTATTGACACTTTTAGAGATAAGTTTTACAGAATTTATGGAGTAACCTTCGTCCCTTTAAAGATCATTGTTAACACTTTTAGAGATGAATATTACAGTAATAAGACAGTAACTTTCATCCCTTTGTGGACAAATTTTGACACATTGAGAGACGAAGTTTCTAGTGGCGAGACCCTTAAGCTGTGAATGGGAGTGAAAGGTTTGCGGCATTGAATGGCTTCCTGTTCTGAAAAGGCAGATTGTGCAAGTTCTCTGAAGAGCTATCTCTTCTGAAAAGTTGCGCGAACCGTCTTCTCAGAACGGGAAAGTATTCAACACCGCAGACCTTTCACTCCCGTTCATAGCTAAAAGGTGAATATATTGGAGTACATCTGAAAAGTCGCACGCCTTTATTTGCAGACAACAACGCTGTGTTTTCAAACAAGCAGCGTCATGTCCTACCCCGATCTAAATGGTAATGATGCCCGCGAACACTGAAAATATTCAGGCAACACTAGTAGAATTTAGAGACAGGTTTTAACAGCCAACATCACTGTTTTACGAAAAACGTTGCAGCAGCAATCTGTAGACAAAAGTTAGTACTTTCACTATGGAAATATATTTATTCTGGAACTACATAACAGAGGAAATAAAAACAATTTCACATAACAAGAAAGTATACAAAAGAAAATACTGCTCTTTGGCACTAAAGTGCTTGGCAATATTTAACAACATGACTTGCATATATAGGTGTGTTCAATGGTTCTTAGTGCTGCGGAAGGACCCCGACGAATTTGTGCCTGCACATTAAATGCTTAAGCTTTCACTGAATGCGCATGTTACCTGTTTAAATTGTATGGATTTCGCCTCCTTTCTGTAAAAAAATGAGACCAACTTGCCAGGGCCAGTGGTTGACCGTTTTGTAAACAACAGAGTAGGCAATGGTTATAAACTGTGACGTTATTTCTTCAAAGCACAGCTAGCAAAAAGCGCTTTTTAATCTGCTCGTTGCGTCTATCGTTAGTTGGAACCATTGCTAACTCTCGTCTGCATACATGACTGCAATTGACACAAGCCACTATGTTGGTCCTACTTTTCATGTAAAGGGAGCTACGCCATGAAATTTCTGCAGGAAAAATTCACAATCGGTGGAAAGTTGAGCTTTTTACGTGCAGAGCCAGATTTTTTTGGCACGTTTCAGAGCACTATAATTTATTGTAGGCATATCAAGTTAAGAATAAACAAACTTTAGGGCAAACCTACAAATAGACTGCTCTTTTCGATGTTTTTTTTTCCTTGTGTAATAAAAATAACACCTTAGTTAAAAACCTTTTATTCATAACATATGTGGCCGTAAAATGGCTAGTGTATTTATAAATTTAAAAAAAGAACCCTGGCATATGTTTTCCACATTCAAAGATTGCTCAAATTAAAATAATGCTCTATGAAATGCTAATGCACTCATTAAACATATTAATTAAACAGGCACAGGAGAAACACATTTTAGTAGCATTTGGAAAACAAATAGCTTCAATACTTTTTGGTCTCCTTCGAATTCAGGTTGACGAGCAGCCCTGTACCCATACAGCCCAGCTGTGTGTGCTTGACACCTGCAAGTCTCTCGAAACAAATGTGCGACGATATTTAACAAAATACTGCAGGTCCAAAACCCATGCCAGGCAGAAACAAAGTGCCACAGATTCTGAAGGGCCTTCTGCCTCATAGGCTTGATTTTTGGAGAGCGCACTGCAGCGCTCAGTTGATATCCCGGGACACAAAACGACGAGAAGACTGCGGGGCACGTCTGAAAAGAAATGTTGAAAATAACAAAAAATCATAAAGTCGAAGTCCTTCTAACAAAAAAAGAGGACTACCCTGTACAGAAGGCGCAGATAACCGATGGACTGGCTGAAACAGGTACAGCAGGTACTCTCTAAACCTAACCCCGTAAACCAGTTACTTAAATATTGGTTTTGACAAATAGAAGCTAAGTTGGGCATTTCAGCGGCTGGAATACCTTCAAAGGGACTGATCATAATCGGTTACTAAAGTTAACCACGTGGTTTGACTGGTAGGCCAAGGAGTAGCACAAACAACACAAAAAATGGACCATATCCGGGCGGTGCATTTTTCACAAGAGGCATCAAACAGATCGCGGGCACCTTAGCCAGAATTTGAATCCGTCATTTGGGGATCCGCAGACCGGCGCTTTACCTCGGAGCCACCGAGGCAGCATGTGCTAAGTAAAGCAAAATATTTAAAACGTTGATTATCGGAGTTTAGGCCATTAATTTGCTCAATATTACTTCAAACTCTATGACGTCCACTCTAGAAGATAAATTGTTCCAAG